CCATAATGATTTCAGATACTTTCCATGACAGTGCGGGATTTAAGCAAGCATTTATTATCGTCGTGAGCTCTGCTATTACTTTTCGCGTTAAATTTTTAGTACATCAGCAGTCACCAAGTCGAATAATATTTTCTACTTCTTTATTTGTTGTTGGTTGGATTTCACCCACGTATTGCGATTCTTTCAGCTGGGGTAGAGTACCATTGACCGCAAAAGGACTAAATGTTTTAGTTAGTTTCTCTGTGAAAACTTTCGCTTTTTCTTCATTGCTTCTGGCCCAGGATCCGTTTGGCTTTTTGAGGGGTGCATTCGACAATATTGGTTTCCTAGCGTTTTTTACAGCTTTCCAAAGGGAATAATCCGTATGTTTGTTTGGCGTAAATTTCTCAATATAATTAGAAATATTGTGATTCTTAAATAACTTTATTTTGACGCTGAGCATCTTATTTAAATTGTCTACTTCTGTTTTATACTGAGGAAATCGCGTGATTTGCCATTTTTTACGTAGTTTTTTTCTTTTTCTTCATGAGTTCTTTAAGAAGGATATTTAGTGTATTCTATGTTTAGGAACAGGAGTACTTTCCCTAGCCGATTCTAGAATGGTTTTCGTAAATGCATGATGTTTATTTTCTAATATATCTGTTGTAGTCATATTTACTTTAGAATCAATATTTTTGTCGAGCATAACTTTGAAATACTCCCAGTCAGTATGTGTATTAGAGAGATAAGGTGGTATGTCGATTTCTTGTAGAGGGCCATTTAAGATTAGATATACTGAAGAGTGGTCCGAATTTATGTCCAATCCATTTTCCATGGTAATGAATTTCTTAGATATTTGTGGAGTGATGAAAAAGTCGAGCAGGTCAGGTAGTTTTCTTGTGTCGTAAGGCCAGTAAGTCGGTTTGCCAGTAGACATAAAATAGCATCCAGTAGCCATAGCAGCTTTAAATAGCTCTCTTCCCTTCGGTATCGTAGCTCTTGAGCCCCATTGGGAGTATTTTTCTTTAAAGTCAACTCATGATAAAATTTCCATGGTGTTTTAGTATAAGTTCCGTGTACAAGTCCATTTTGATATTGTGTCTAGGTGGGCTATATATCGCGGTAATATTTATCTTATCGAAACTACATTCAACCGATATGGTCGTGGTTTGGAATTTTGGGACACTTATATTAATTTCTTCGTAATTGGTAATATCACTAATAGCATTAGAATTTCTTTGGTTTGCAGACATATGTTGTTGTACCTGATTACTACCTTTAGTTATGCTGGCAAATGGTAACTTCTTTCTGAGGAGCTGTAGAAGCGGTTGTACATAAGCGTTTTGGTTTTTGGTTATGCTCTTTATTTTTTTCTGTCGCGATTGTAATTTTTTGCAGTTGGTTTGCCGCTTCACATCTCTTATATGTAGCAGGGTGACTTTCATTGCAGTTACAGCATTTTGGCGGTAGATCGGCAGGTTTTGTGCAGTTTAGAGTAAAATGATTACCGGCGCACTTCACACACCTTGGTGGTTTACAACAATAATTTCTGTTGTGACCGAATTCCTGACAGGACTTACATTGAGGCATAAGATTTGATGGCTTGATGGGTGGGATAATTTCGTTGTGAGTATTCTGTAGTCTGAACTATCTGAAAGGTCTATTTTGCATAAACTTGGGACAGTGAGCTTAAGTGTGTAGGTATTTTCAACTTCCGCGTGTATCAAGGAACGCATCAAAGGTTGATTAAAATTCTCTGATATATGTATATATACATGAATATACAAATACATGTTTTCTTATTTTTGACCTATGATGTTTGATACCATTAGAAACCCTGAGTATGGCTTGTGTCAAGCGCGGTTTTATGAAATCTATGCAAAAACACTCTGTATTATTGATTAAACCATTGAAATACAAAAGGCCCGATGGAAAATTCTCATATAATAAAAAAAGTCGGTACAGTCTTGAAAAGATGGTTAAATTCGGCAATGTGGGCAAAAAATAATAAGACTTTCTTATTGCGCGTGAAAACGCATTCGTTGTCGAATATAATACTAGGTAGATATGACTGTCCGTGACATCTGTACAAAATGTCATATCACAATAATCATTAGTGTTTAGCATTTCTGAAGTACATAAATTGGATTCGACAGTTTTAAATTTTAGTAGAGAAATGTTCATAATGTTGAAAAGGCCTTCAGTGATAGTTGTTGCGCGAAAGCTTGTTTGGTTGGTGAAAATTATTCAAAGAGTGCTTGAGAATCGATGATTAACAGTTAGAGATTTTACTGCCATCGTTGGAAATGAAAACCAATTTGAAAAATCACTTAGGCTTAAAAAAAAGAGAAAACACGATTAGTTTCAAAATCACTATTTTTTTTTTTGAAAAACAGAGTCGCGTCAACGTCTTATTACTAGTATTGAGTCTCCAATCTATGTTTACGACTCAAAAATAGACGATTAATCGGCCGGATATCGTGGCGAAGGTGAGCCGAAGCCGATACGAAACCACCACGTCAAAACAGGTCAAAAATCAAGGTTATGCTGACAGTTTTTTTTTTTTTTTTTCAATTATCGAGGTGTGGTGCACTTCGAATTCTTCCGACCGGCCAAACTGCCAACATGAAATACTATTTGAGGGTTGTGCGTCATTTGTGCGAAACTAATCGTAAAAAGAGGCCAAAATAATGGACCGACAACGCTTGAATTTTGTACGCCGGTAATGCGCCATCGCATACTGCAGTTCGGAAGTTTTTGTTCTAAATTTTCAATCAACATTGTGCCGCCACCGTATTTGCCTGATTTAGCTTCGAGTAACTTCTGCTATTAAGTAAACTCAAACAACTAGTCCGGGGAAACCGTTCTGAGTTGACTGAAGACATTAAACATGAATCGCTACGCGCATTGAAGGCTATTCCAGAAATTACTTTAATGACTGTTTTTAGGATTGAAAAAAAAATTGGCACATGTTTTTTGGGGTCAAGGGGAAATACTTTGAGAGGAATGACATAGATTTTGAATGTGCAGCGTTCCATAACATCTGCATACAATTTAAGAATTTAACATATCGCAGATATTTTATGAATGAAAGCAATGATTCGAAGTAGATACGGGAAATGAGACCCAATTCATTAAAATTGATCATAAAATTAGAAATCATATTGTGTTGTCCTTAGATAATAACTAGTTTAAACCTGCGGCTCCGCTCTCTTCTTGTTGTCAAAGATATCATTTATCGTGATAAAAATATAATGGAATAGTTAAATTGGCAATCTACATTTTGTATTGACATCGTAATCTCTTAAGGAGTGGTACATACTTACAAAAATGTATGTATGATGTAACAACATTTTCTGCATCTTCATCGTATATCGTTACCCATCCGAAAGTAACTCTGTCTGTCTGTTACTCTCTCACGCCTGAACGGATTTTGATTTGGTATGGTGATAGATGATAACCTAGAAATGGTCATAGGCTATAAATAATCACGCCATCGTTCTTAGGGGGTAGGCAGTAGGCAGATAACTAACGGGAGAAAACGAAAAAACTTATGCGAACGAAGTGGCGGGGTAAAATCTAGTATACATACACATATGCTTCCTGTTATAGTGAATAACAGTGAAGGAGTAGAGCAGAAGAGGGCGCCCCTCACGCCGTATATCTAAACATATAGCGATGTATTGTTCAACATTCATCGAATGTAATTGCAAAATCGACGACTAAAACCCAGATACTACACTTACGAAAATACAGACTTGATCGTTCTTTTTAAATTTTGTACTGTTCTGTGCGATGCCTCAGGGATATTTGTCAGATATTATGCACTCATCTTAAATTATGATTCAACATTTTCTTATTCAGTTACAACTATTACTATAAATCATATATATGTATGTGTATGACCACAAAAACCATTGTACCTTGCAAATAGCTGTGTGATTTTATTTTGTATTTTTGAAGAAAAAAAAATGTTCAAATGATTCATACATGAATATTGAACACATGCATATGTTTTGAAATATATTTTGTTTTTATTTATGAATTGTGGTGACTTTTACCCGTGAAAATTTTCACTTCCATGCTGTGGTTCGGGCGTAATGCGCGGACATACAAAAAAGACGTTTCATTTTTATATATGAGATTCAAGCAAACGTTCCAACGATACCTATTCACGTATTTAATTATTATTTTTATGATGACAACAAAATTTGATGGTTGTGATCTTATCTTTCGCCCATACTTCCGTCGGTGTGCCGGCAGCGTTACGTTGTAACGTCAATGTATCCCATAGATTGTTTGAAACAGCTTTGTCATGGCCGCAATATGGCAAAATACTTTTCTAGGTGCTGATTCTACAGCATGAAATTGCTTATCAAATTATAATATACATACAATATATTAAATATAATCAATAAAAGAAAAATAACCTACATTTTGGTTCCAATTATGTATAGGTGATAATTTTTGAATTTTTTTAAATTCGATCGATTTCGATTTCTCGGAAATTAATACTCGCTATCGAATGATTAAATTCGAAATTTTAAAAGATTGTGTTCGAAAACGAGTGCCGCAATCCGACTGAATAGGTATTTCGAGTGGCGAATCATATACCAATACAGTTTTTCGAAAGTCTTCCTCGCTATATGGATCGGTGCTTTGGGAAATTCATTCATCACCATGCAAATTTGTAGCAAAACCACGGAGTTCATTTTTTCGTTAGAGCACCTTTATGGTATGCCTTCTGTGTCTCGAATCCGTTCAATATATATGAAGACCATCTGGTCCGTCCAAATTAAATTTAGTTATGATTGTGTGCTGCATTTTTAGCGATTAATCATTAGTAATTAAATTTTTAAGTTTTTTAAGGTTTTTAAAATTGTTTAGTTTGTATTGAATGCATAATTCTTCAGAAATTGTGTCAATTGGAGCAAAATAGACGAATTTACAAGAGTTTCATAACTTTAACTTTAGCTTTAAGTATACTTCATAATCATTTGAAATTATGGGTCGTATTTATAAAAATAAGTTTAGTCGACCTTCTTACGAAAAATTGGGTTTGTTCCTTCAAAGTGTTCAAAAAAAGTGAAAATTTATACTTAAAAAAACCTTTCGGTGTTACCTGATTATAAGAGGGCTCCGCAAACCGAAGCACGTTCAAATAAATGCTGCTAGTGCCATATTTGCTTTTATTCAAAAGAAAACAATTCTGCTTTTTATTGTTCTTATATCAATATTATTATCATAAAAATAGTGTTGTTTAGACCATAGACTGAAGAGCGTTTCTCTTTGCGATATTGGAGTAGCTAAATCATGTAATACTTGTATATTTCCATTATGATTTAACCTGTGTATACATATGTAAATCGTCTGATTTTACATGATAGTAAATAACGTCGGGTATTGCGCAAAATCATTAAAAGTAGACGAACATTTCATCCTATTCTGTTATTCGTTTCTTTTGATGTTTAGCTCTTCAATTATGTCGACACGTTTGTATTTCAATTTTGTGAGACGAAATAAATTAAATAATAAAGATACTTTATTTTAAGTTATGAAATAAGTTTAAAAGTGCTCTGTTGTGTTATTTTTACATTATTAAAAGAAGTTAAGGAAGTAAATAAATATTCGTACTGACTGTTAGTACGCATAAAAATCACATTTGCATTCCATGTAGTTTCTGTGAGGTACTGCTAAGTCCGTTTTGAATTTTACTGCACAATTTTCCTACATATCTGTATGTAGGTACTTACATAAATATAAGTGAATATACATAATTTTTACAGGAATATGCACATTTGTATATATAGATTCATATGTAAGTATACATGCATGTATGCCTATTGTAAGTAGCCCATCGTCAGGCTTTGACCGTTTTTGCATTCAGTCTGCAACACTGAATTGTGGGCGGCGCGACGTGTTTGCCCAACGAAATTAATTCCTATTTGTTTTCTATATTTAAATCGCTGCCGCCGATACCGCCACCATGTTATATCTTTCTTTTTTTTTTAGTTCTAAACACTACAAGAGATTGTGTAATAAGCAGACAATACAAAAATATATAGATACCGCGAAATCAACTTAGCTCAATACAAGACATTACAAGACATTTCGAAATGACGGATAACGTGGCTTGTGCAAGTGTTTGTGTGAATGTGTTATATGTATTACTACATTTTAGTTTCTCAAAATTTTCACATGATTATCCGAATAATTAACAATGGAGGCATTTTGTATTCATAAAAGAGTTATATAATAAAAGTTGAGTACATTAGGTTGTAGTTTTTACGAATGCAGGTCGGTCGTATAGTATACATATACTAATAATGTAATAAAAGAAACGTTAAAAATTCCATCTGAGCCATAAAGGAAAAAACTAAATTGTTTAATACAAACAAACATTCAACCGATTCATGTAAAATAATTCGGGCAAGTACTTATTATACAATCCGTTGTAAATTTTCTAGTTTGAATATTGCCATAATACATGTACATATATTTGTTATATACTTTCATGATATACTTATGAAATGAAGGAGAAAAACAATGCTTGAAAAAGTTTATTGAACGATTTGTAAATAGCAATATTTTTGCAATTATTACTGAATTTGAAGCATTTCAGAGTAGAAATCATATTATTTTTAAGTCTTTTTTTTTATGTTTGATTTAATGTTAAAATAATTATTTTCTACTCTTTAGAAGAATGCTTGTGGTCCAGTGGCACTCAATATGCAATGCATGTATATGTATATACATGTATTACATTTTCCATTAATTCCATGCAATATTACCTCAAGTAAATATATTCTCATCCACGTTGTCATGTGTTAATTTTTTAGATAAATGTGTTGTTTTAGGCTGTTTTCCTTGTAATGCTCGACAGATTGAACGGTGCCAAAAAAGCCAAATATCATGTATGGAAAGTTACCTTCAAATATGTGTAATTGTTGCACGTATGTGCCGCATTCACAATTTTGTTTGGAGTTAAATAATTATAATCTACAAGCATTTTTCTTAGTTCCTAATGCATACTAGTTTGCTGAATGCAGAGTTAAACATAAAGTTACAAGTAAAACATTGGGTTACCGTTATGACAATATAAATAGATGAAAACAATACAAAATAATCCAAATACCGTGATGAAATGGATTAGCTAGCAGTTCCTGACACAAAGATTACAAGTAGTATAAGATGCCAAGCCGAAATGTCCTTTAAAATGCATTACTATCTGCATCTGCGTCTTCCCATTGTCATACAGAACGATGGTGAGTATGTATGTTTGATTTTGTGCATTTAGAAATGCTGAATTTTCCATTTTGCGCATGAGAAAGAAAATAAATAAAAGACCTATTATTTCGATCTTTATATGCAGCTATTTTTTTCTTTTAAGCTTAATTTTCGACTATCAATGAATGTTAATAAAAAAAATACATTTTTATTAAATACTATAATTCACAGAGATGATCCAAAACGTTATAAATCGCAATGAGAGAAATCTCTTTGGTATAAACGGAACTAAATAACAATGTGTGTTGGAGTAAAGTTAATTTGAACGTTTCAATAGTTCGATACACATTATATAATATTTATAAATTTACTTTGCATTTAAGGTGACAAATAATCAATCCAAAGATAATTTGATATTTTTTGTACCCTGAACCAGGGTATATTAAGTATGTCAAGAAGCTTGCAATACCTAGAAAGAAACGTCATAGACCTTAGGAAATATAGTATATAAAATATATAAATTATCCTGTGATGAGCTGAGTCGATTTAGCCACTTTTTACGCGAACTAGTCCCTCAGTACTTAAGATATTGGTCTGAAATTTTAAACACGTCTTTTTCTCGGATAGATATAGCATAGAGTCTACTTATGACAAACTTATTCTTGTGACAAGTTCTCATCACGAAATTTGTTACGTATTATTCCAAAGTAACGGCTAAATTTCGAAACAAATGTTTAGATAGGATACTATAGCATATAGTTGTCATATAAAGCGGACGATCAAAATGAGGTCCTTGTATGGAAAACATAATATTTATCTTCAGTTCAACCGAACCGTATTTTCTTGCTAGTTATAATACTGGTGGATTTTTAAACTTTTAAGTTCATCTTTCAGGAGAGGCTTCGAGTTACAGAAGTTTTCATTACAACATAAAATTTCAAAAAACGGTAAAATATAGATTTATACACAGTTTTATTTCTCTACTTCGAATAAAGTTTTTGCTTATGTACTCAAAACATTTACTTTGCTTATTTTAGTGAAACATTTTCTAATTTGTTTAGTGTTTTGTAGTGTTCGTAAGTTGAATTATAATTATAATAAATATTCGGTTCTTCAATATCGTCTGTTTAAATGCGGGTGAGCAAATTTCATTGTTCATCTAAATATAATCTGTAACAATAATATTTGAGGTGATGAATACGCGCGCCGACTTCTATGTGAACTTTTTACAAAGTGGGATTTCCCCGAAAATGTGACCCACGTGAGAAAATAGAAGTTTTGTGGAAGAAAATTTGTATGAAATTCGTTTTCACGGTAGGGAGGTCTTCCTGTTGTGAAAGTTTGAGTTACGGATTTGGATGAAATTTGACTTCTACATGCTATACCATATCAAGAGTTCGAGTTTTGCAGAACTTCTAGTTATCAGTTAACAGTATATGACTTAACAGGTGGGATGAAAATTTCATAAGCTTATACATATTAGTGGTAGATGGTACCACTAACATCAAATCCATATGATTTTTAGTGAACCCCTACCTTTAAAAGATACATGTACAAATTTTACTTCTATCGAACTATTAATTTATGTGATATATACCTAGTACTTCGGTGAAGCAATTTGTATTAATTTACAAAAAATTATCAAAAGGAATTTCGAGTGATGATAGAGGAGTGCTTTTTGCGAGGAAAAATACTGTTGAAAACAAGGTCAATGGAGCATATTGCATACGTTTTGAATGAAATGGGTGCCGCGCAAGCTCTGTAGTGTTCTTTAATCATAATAAATCGCAGTTTTGGGTTGATTTCTGACAATGCATGAAGCTTGGTTCCATCATTCTACACCGGAGTTCATTCGACAGCCAGCCGAGTTAACTGCACCTGATGAACCGACCCCATTGCGTGGAAAGTGGCAAAAGTCGGCTACCATGGATAACAGATGGAATCAGCATTTTGAGATGCACGTGGTATAATATTCATCGGCTTTTCTCAAAAGTTATTGAAGCATTTGAAGGCCCGATTTTAAGAATATGGTACGATTGCGATTCTTCCGGCGCCGCGATTTGGTGGTACGGATGGATAGAGGAGCTCCTCAGGATTGAAAAATGTATACACATATACGTCCTCAGACTCATAGTTTTCGAGATATTTCACTTTAAAGTTCCACAATTTTCTATGGAATTCACTCTTATTTTGTTTTGTTTTGTTTTTGTTTACATGTCATGACAAATACTAGTGTTGCCACATATTGTGTTTTGAAAAAACTATTAAATAATTTTCTGTTTAACATATATTGAGAGAATGGTACAAGTTTTTGTTGTATCTTATGTTATATGATAAATAAAGATAAAAAATAATATTCCTTTGTGTCGAACTACTTTCTGCACTGGCGGCCTTCGGCCGCGCTTAAAAAAAAATAACCCTGATCAGTCCAACACCGGGGTGATCATAATTCTTTTGTGTCAAACTACTTTCTGCACTGGCGGCCTTCGGCCGCGCTGCAAAAAAATAACCCTGGTCGGTCCAACACCGTGGTGATCATAGTTCTTTTTGTTGGCAATATAAAACCGGTATTTACTAAATATAGTATAATAATATTAAATATACGAAACAATATTTCATTTTGAATAATTTATATCTCTAAGTATGAAACAGATTTTTGATTATATTTTCAGGACACAAAGTATGGCAACACTGCTAATTGTCATAAATGTAAACACACAAATCTCTTGAAACTTTGAATGTGCAAAATAGTTTTTAAAGTATATTTATTTTCTTAAAAATATACAATTAGTGTAAATTTTGATATATACGAATGTGTACGGTGTAATTAAATATATATTAATTATAAAACGTGTGAAAAGTGAGTTAAGCATAGTGAAATAACGAGCATTGTTTCTACAAATTTTTTAACTTTAAAGTGAAATATCTCGAAAACTATGAATCTGAGAATCGTACATGTGTTTTTTTAATCCTGAGGAGCTCCTCTATCCATCCGTACCATCAAATCGCGGCGCCGGAAGAATCGAAGAAGAATGAACAAACGGTCAGAAGCTGTAATCGTTGTATCGCCTTCGTAGATAAAAATATTGATAATAAAAAAAATGTTATCAAAAAATTTTTTTCTGTCAGCCTACTAACTTTTCAGTCCACCTGTTATCTGACTCACTATTTAGTAATAACAATATCATAAAAATAGATGAAGTGTGGCATTTTAAATAAGCATAAAAACTCTGGACTATTAGGTAATATTAAATGATAGTGAATAGAGAACATAATGTACTTGTAGACATACAAATTTATAGTTGAATTTAAGTCAAATAACGAAAAATAACAAATTTCAACGAGAACGGCAAAAAACTAGCCAAGCATAGCTACATACTTTCATTTTATTTGCCACAATCAAAATAAAACGAGTTAATAATAGGGAATTGTAATAAAAAATGTTTGTAATGTATGTACAAAGAAGCTTTCGTTGCGGCAACTCTTTTCGGCAGAGCTACAATGAGGAAGTGTTCTGATTTGTTTTTGCTATGACAACATGCTTTGTGTTTTTGTTAATAACAGTTCGCTGCTAAAAAAATTTGTAATTTTTTTCAGTTATACCATTTGTCTGCTCTCTATCTTTGGTTCTGCTTTCTTATCAAAAAATTTACATGTAAAACATACACTAAAATTGTGTATTTAGTTTAAAACAAAAAATTATATGACTTGGAAATGTCTTTGATCAGAACGTCATCATCCATGTTTTGTACGGTGTTCAGCGATTAGGTATGAATGAAAATATACACGCCGTTGCAAATACTTATATCAAAAAAGAGCAGTGACTCGACCATATTGAATTAATTCTTCATACTGCACTACAAAAGTTACCACTGCTCAAAAATGAGTGAAAATAATAAAAAAAAAATTCGCTATTTTGGACATTTTTGCGTAGAAAAGAGAAGAATGCCACGCAAGCCACCAATGAAATTTGTGAAGTTTGCGGAGCATCATTCGTGTAGCAATTTCGAAATTTCGATTTTCTCTAGCGGAAAAATGGCAAAAAGTGGTCGACTAAATGTCAATAGTTTTAATTTTAAATTTAATCTTATTAGATTGTTTATCGTAATGTCTACCTTTGTAACAGGTGTTAATCTTAGCAACGTTGGTGCAGTTAAAAACCTGCTAGGCATCTCAAAATAAATTATCCTAAAATCGTTCAGTAGTTAAGGAGTTTACCCTGGAAAAAAGTGACACGTAGTTTTTATACATTTTCAGACATACCTTAAATGATAAAGTAAGAAATAAAATAAAAAAACGAGTTGACATTGTAATTATGAGAAATGTCATGAATTATAAGAAATATGCTTAAGTTAAGTAAAACATCCGTAATATGAAGTCTCAATAAAAAATCTTTCTCATGTTCGAGATGGATAATTTACGCATTCATAAAATCTACTTTCTTCACAAGTTTTTTTTTATTTTGTATCATACGTTTATTTCCTTAACTTTTCTACCAACCGTTTAGGAAATGCGATCGTAACAAATTGATATGCATAGACATATGTATGTATAAAGACGAATTTACCTGTAAAGACATTTTAACCGTTTGGATATAACTGAGCATTACTTGTTTTTGAGCAAACTACCATATTAACAATTGTAATAACGAAAAGAGAACTAGTGGCCGAGAATTAGGTGTGGAAAAGTGCCGCAGGGCATGTTCATACCTGAGACATTGAGAAGCTGCATGATTGAGACGGACGTATCTTCATATTTGCAAACATCATCCTCAGGACAGGTGCAGATTTTTAATTAATCAAAACAAAAACATGATAATTAAATGTCTTCAAAGCAAACAAATATCAGATACTATGTGCCGAAACATAAATACAAATAATGAGAGTTAATATATGATGCGAGAAGAGTTAATGCATTTTATGGAAAAAGTTATCTACATAAACAATTAATTTACCTTGCGCAAAAAGAAGACATAAAGTATTAAATTGAATTGGATCATCACTAGCTATCAATACTGCGACTAATTACTGCCACCATTGTTTTTTCTGCTTTTGCCCTTGATACCTCCTCGATTAATTCCAATCACAATTAAGATAGCACTACTACTTCTGTAATCATCGCAAATAAATTAATACTACTTTGTACTAATATATTATACTATACTTACATACACGTAAAAGCCTAAAAGAAAAAGGAAAAACAAACAAATAAGAAAAAACTATTGTAACCAACGTATGTAACAAAAGTGTAATTGCTCATTTATAGTTAATTTCAGAGACGCGCTTTAACTTCAGTTAAATTCATTAAAATGAAAAGCATAAATTCAAGAAAAGTACTCCTATCGAAGCATACGAAGTAATTAAATTATAATTACAGTAAGGTCACTAATAATATCTGTTTTTTATCTAATATTTATTCAATCTATCTGCTTATCTATTATATACAATACACTTACTTCATATATGTGTGTGTTATTTTTTATCGATGTTTAAAATTTGCAAACCGTGCCCCTTTTGAATATTAAACATAGAGTAGCATTTCAATTTTAATTCACTGAATTATTCAAGGTTTGTTATTTCTGTTTAAAGTCGGATACACATACCTAAACCTTTCAAATTATTGCAGTTAAACATCACTATGACAAACATTGATTGTAAGTAAAATTGATCACTATGTTCAAACGGGCCAAATATATTTATATCATATAATCATAGCCAGCGGTTTAGCAATTTCAATCAGAGTTGTCATTCATTTACGGGGTTAGGTGTAGTTAGAGAAATGAAAAAGAACAATTTAAAAACATGTTTTTGGTCAGTACATTATTTTATTTTATAGAAATAAAAAGCATATTATCATTAAATAAGGTTTCGACTTGATTGGACTTGACACAAATTAAAACAAATAATAATCTTTTAAAAAGTAATGGCTGTTTGTAATGCTCCAGCTCCAATCGAAGCTGTTTGCGCTGATCATCACTAATCCTTAGAGACTCATCTAAATCAATCCAATATAATTTTATAATTATTTTAATTAAGGGAAAACCTAGTGAGCGAAGCTTTTTTAATTATTGAAATAGCACTCTTAGGAAAAAGTTTTTCAAACGTTCAGGAAAAAAGCTGTTACAAGAAATTGTTTGCAAAAAATGGCAATAAAAAAGACCTTCGATCAGACACTAGCAGAAATAGAAATTAGTTGAGCTTTCCATCGAACCTGTCCATTGTGCTCTCTCTTTCATCACATGTATTCCTAAAGATCCAGAACTCAGACGAATTCCAGGAGTTTGTTGGGCTCAATTGAGGTGATGGATAGGGATCACCACTTAAATGGATTCAAAGGCCTTGAGCTTGGGTCGAATTGGAGTGTACTCTAGAATTATGTGTTATGGAGATTCCGGTTCCATGTCATAAAAACGGAAGTTTGCACAAGAAGTTGGACAGGTGTTTCTTAAGCCTGCGCGTTTGCAACCTGATAGAGGGTCCCAGAAAATTTTCATGTTTACAAAAAACTGAACCATTGAAATCTAACGAGCTACAGTTGTCACCATTCAAAATTCATTGGTTTGAAAAAACGCATTTATAATTTTGGAAGTCAGTTACATTAAGATAAATTATCTTAAATATACGCTCATATCTCCAAATCTATTTGTCGAACCAACTCACAATTTTGTGAAACTATTTCTGAAATATTTTACTTTAAGAAAATGTAAATTACTTTTCGAAAATTCTGGCTACGCCAAACTACAAACATAAACTTCTCTACGGAGAAACTTTTACATGTTTAATATTAACCATATTAATGTTTTCACTGTTAATTTACAAGCAGATATCATTTTACTGTAATACTGTTTACTAATTATGTGTTAATTTAATTACATATCTTTGATTATTAATTTTCACATGAAATGATACACTTATATAAATTTAATTTTAAAATGATGTAAGTGTTCGAATTTACGTATTTGCCAATTAAGTGCCTGTTTGATCATAGTTTTAGCTCCAGTAAGTGCCAACGGTTCTAAGTAGTATGAAATAACGATTGCTTATTCAAAATTAATCTAAAATATTTATATGCGGATTTTTTTTTAATATCATTAAAAAAGAAGATTACCACATGTTGCAAGGTTATACTCTTATAAAACAAAAGGATTCAATATATCAATCTTATATTTAAAATATTTATTTTCCCAAGTTACAGATATCGATTCTTATCTACAAGAAAAAGCACAAATTGGTGATTTTCCCATGGGGAAGAGCATTCTCGCGAAACCTATGATAAGGCTGATTATGCTATGTTATAGTCGTATTGTTGATATCTTACATTATGTTTATATGTGTATATACCTACATTAGATCTTAGCAATAAAATGTAATACACGGATTTGTCCGGAAAGTAGTAAGACTGATCGATTTAAAAAAATTTATTGAACCCATCGTTACAACTCTTTAAAAAGTTTCAAATGACGATCCATTTGCGTCGATGCAGCGCTGCTAGCGCGATTTCCAAGCATTGAAGGCGTCACGGAATTGTCTTAAGTCGAGGTGCATGCTGCTTGGATTCCCTTTCATCGGCCTTTGCAGGCAAAGAAACAAAGAAAGTTCGGGCGGGCCTCATCTGGGCTGTAGGGCGACTGCTGAATCGTTGGGATTCCGTCCATAGTTAGGTAGCTGTTCGTACACAAAGGAAGTGTGAGCCGGAGTGTTGTCGTGGTGCAACTTCGAATCGTCTGCGATGTCTTGTTGGACCCGATTGACCCTTCGTTTGAGTCTCTTGAGGACTTCCACTTAAAATGGTGGACGATGCCTTTGATGTCTAAAAAGACAATGAGTATCGTTTTCACTTTGGGCCTGTTCATTCTTCCGGTCTTCATCAGCAACTTCTTCCCGGCCTTGGTGCCACCGAAACACACCACTTCTTGCTAAAGCAATATCTGGGTAAGCCTGCTTGATCATATCAAACGTCTCTCTCGCAGAATTAACGAGTTTCACTCAGAATTCAATCGCGTACTTCTGCTCTAACGAACGCTGAATTTTCGGCTTGCACCATTCACAGAAACACGTCGCTCGAAAATGTTTATCCTGTCTCTCCAGATGCTCGGAGACAACTATCCAGCCGCTCGTTCGATAGCTAGAAACGCCCTCGACCAAATCCAGTCGGTGCGCGAGTTAATTTTTACATTAAGTAAAAATGAGTCAAAAGAATATATTTTGAGCTGAACCGAAATGTGTATTCTATATTTATACTCTTAAGACTTACTTATTACATGGTTTTTACTTCTATTTATACTAGCTAGTATGATACTTATTACTAGCTGATAGTTTGTTTAGATATAATACCATATATTGTTTGTTACGGTTGTTTACATAAATCTTACTGCTACTTTTACTACTGAGATGTTGGTTATTTACTAGTAATTCTAGTAATTCTAATACTAGTATTTTTTGTTGCACTGATAGTGTACTTCTATTATTCCAATATAATGTTGTTTTGAAGACTTTTCTGAAATGTTGTTCGTTTATTGAAACATGCTGTGTGTTCGTTGTAGTGATAGTGCAATTGTTCCAACTCAGTGTTGGCTTGATGCATTCTGTTTACTGAAACAAAAGGTTGTTTTGATGTTTATTACCACAAGTATAATAAGGAATACGCTCTTTAACTCGCGTATGCTCGGAAGTCAGTCGTGGTGCAACACAATCAATCCTATTACTTTCCGGACAAACGCAGTATTAGTACTTCTAATTTTATATAATAAACTGCTTAATGCATTTTTAAACTTTTCTACCTCTTTATAACGAATTAACTAAATGTATCAAAAATAAGAGATTTTATTTATTATTAATCTGCGTACAGTTCAGCAATCGTTAACGAAAAGTGCATATAATATTTTAAGCTCGACCTGTAAAAGATATAAAAAAGATTCTCAGAACCGTTGTAGCTTAATGTGCTAAATATGTTGTCCAAAACTGAATATCATAGCTACACATTTTACAACAAAAAATATTTGCACGATCCTGTGTGTACTGCCTTGTGGTTTTATATATTATGTACTTACACATATCATAGATCATTTTTTTAACTCCCACGGATTCGGTTGGAAAACATTGTCAAATAAAAAACGCATGCTAGCACTGTTAAAATTTAACTATCAACGTTTAAGCCATTCTGTTGGAAATGTGAATAATTTTCAAAATCTCAACTTCAGGCAAGCTGCGTGGTGTTGCATACACATAAACATAAATACTTCAAGGATTAGTTTTGGTGTGTGTAGGGAAAATCCATAAATGATTTAATTTACAAAAAGGTGATCGAATTAAAAAAATAGTGGCATATAAACATATATGTTATATGGTATATATATGCATATGTATATATTATATATACATATGTACAAATATATGATATAAGAATGTGTCATACTCAAATTCGCTATCTTAAAACTTTTGGTGGACATTAATTGCACTATTTATTCACTGGACTTAAAATTACAAAAATAATTTACAAGAAAAAAATTAATAGTGGCATAAAATGCAAATGAACCTTCTTTTTGTGCTTCGTAAGAATTTTTGGACTGTTATGTGTCAAACAATTCAGCATTCACATAGTCCCAATGCGTTATTTTTTTAAAGCATGGAGTACACGATGTATGAACATGATTCGTTTTAATTGATTCTTTGTATATATTATATAAAATTCTGATTAGATTAAAAAAAAATTTAACACTTGCATCGGTAGAAAATATTTGTTAATTTACATATACATACGTATATAATATACACCACATTAATACTTAGAGAAAGGATGAAACAAAATTTTTTGTTTAACTTAAAATTTAATTTTATCGCTTATATTTGATAATTGATAGATATAAAAATTAAGTTGCTTTATTGACTTAGTTTTTTTAGCCACAAAAAGTTATTCTATCTCATGCAATAAAGAATTAATACATCGATCACATTTTCTTAGCCCTATAAAAGATTAGTTGGATGAGGTAATTTCCTATATAGTTTCCTGTACATATGTATATATTAATGTACATACACATTCATTTAATACTTTAAAATGGAACCCTCTTTTCTCATTCTCTTTTTTTTAAATAGGACTCACGATATTTCTATAAAATATTAATTGGTGACAAATAAGCTTATTTCATCCGTTATTATTCGTCCGTTACGTATATTTTTAGGAAGCAACTGGTAGGTGAAAACCAGTGTTTTAGAATATTTAGTGAGATGGAATTTGTGGACACATATCTCTCAATTCTTTGAGTTTGTTAATTATGATTTTGCACTATATATCTGTTATTATTCAAATTTGCAAATTTTTAGTCCGACCACATTTTTTTAATTCAAAAATATTATATCATACATCTAAAATGTACCTACACATGTATATTTTTTTGGTGACTTTGTCGGTCAGGGCGATTTACGCTCCCCAAAGATAAACTACATAACTTATTCCTGCTTTCGTCTTGCAATGCTCTATTGCTGTTACATCAAGAAGACAACAAAATAACTTATAATTTTTACAAATTAGGAGAAAAGCTCGACTAGACCAAATATGTAGGGCTAAAATATAACGCTTCAAACAATGTGGACATCATTGGAGTGACTTGGCTAATTAATATATGGTATTTTGTTTTTTTGTGGTTAGTCAATTTATTTTCCTTTTTTCTTTATTGATTATTTCTCTCGCTTTTATGTGCATTCCTATTGTAGGCATTTATTAGCTATATATGTTCGATGTATGTATTTGAGCACTCGTACGAATGCATTTAAATATTGTACTATGTTTATGTAAAAGTTCATGCTCTACACTTAACTATTCTCAAAATCAGTCATTTAAGAACTTAGAAACTTTTGTGTGAAATATTCTTTCATATGCACATACCTAAATATATTTATTTTATATAAAATAGTAATTATGCATCTGTAAATGTACTTATTATGCATTTTATGGTAATTAGTTGAATATATTACTGTAAGTTCATATCCCTGCAAGAAACGAAATTGGTTTACAAGAATGATTTCCTATTAAAATATTTCTTAAGGAGTATAGCAACTGTAGTGGGTAAAAAACATGTACAGATTAATTCTTATTTCCATGATATAATCATTTATTTACAGGACTAACACAGGACACTTATCAAGTTTGAACCTCAAGCTAATGAACAATTATTATTTTCGGTTTTTTTCACAATCGTGTGATGTTTCTTTGATCGTTACTTTAAACGCGTGAAATATGGCATATATGTACATATGTACGTCGTCCTGGAACAAAATAAATAATTTGTACTACATGAGAATTTTTAGTCAATAATTTCCTAATAAACTGGCCGTAAAAAATTAGTATTATATATGTATATATATGTGTTTCGAAATGAAAAGAAAGTTGAATTTATATTGTCTTGAAAATCATTTATTTGCGATTTTTCTACATTTTTTTCAATATAACGCAGCTTGATAAACAACATTTCTTTATTTCTGTTCCGGTGCGTAAATGAACAGAGAAGGTGATGTTCGAACTTGTGAACACCAGATTTCATTTCCAGATTTATGGCACACACTTTTAACGACTATCCTTGTCTCCTGTTGATTGTCATCGTAAATGCAATTTTCCCTGGAAACTGAATATGTATGTTTGAACTAAAAAGGCAAATCGTAAACATTAATCAATAGCAACCGATAGTGGAATCAATTGTCGTTTTTAGGGTGGATTGTATAAATTCGTCCTAATGCATTAGATAAGAACACACTTGGATGTCTATCTACTGGTTGGCCGTGCTTTTTACGTAACCATTTATTTAATGATGCATTCCATGCACCATATAAAGGCATTTCCGAATAGAGTAATGTTCTCGCAAACGGATCACTAACGCAAATTGAGAAAAAACTCGTCAATCTTATTTTTGTTCTTGGCGGTGTTTCCGTTGGCTGCAGTGTATTCTTTGGGTTGAAATAAACTCTTGGGACTTTCCTAAATGAACTGCGAGATGCGCAACAGTCGGAAAACGCTGCATTGCAGTTCTCGACCCATTTGGTGATCTCATCTCGTTCAAGGCCAATAACCGCCATGTTGCTTTCTTTGGTGACACACTTGCAAACGTATTTGATCGATTTCACCAAACTGCAGTACTCAACATTAATATGAATTTGAATGTAAATTAGACGAATAGTACTACATCCATGTGTTGTCAACTTCGATATTCATTCCTCTCAATTGGATGCTGAATGTTCTGCCATTGTCGTCTGGTAAACGACGCCGTTACAATGGATATTCATCATTTCGCGTGGATAGTGTTTCATGCATTTATTGTCAGACATACAAACAGATGTGGGGTTGTGGTGTCCACAAGGTCCATGAACCATATTGGATCATACAGGACCGCATCCACCAACCAAAAAAGGGTGTGTGCAAGCGACAAACCTCTTTTTTGTCCCTGTTCTGGCTTTGCTAAGGCTGTTTTCGAGCATATTATGAAATTCAATAACGAATTCAGGAGTGCCTTTGCGTTTAAAAGTAAAATTTTACTTCAACAACTCTGGATGTAGTGGCGGCCATAGCTGCGTTGTCAGTATACCTAGTATGTATGTCGCATCGCCACTGAGCCGATATTAAGATAATGCTTTATAGTTTTCTTGCCCTTAAACTTTAAACTATCTAAAATAACTTTCCTAATGATTTCATTTGAAATAACTGCCCGTGTTTGTCTTATGAAGAGTAATAATGATAAATACCATTGCCCTGCTTCAGATTAAATTGATTATTAATTATTTTCATTTTGATTGTACCTAATTGTTTCTTGCAGGGACATTTATGCATTTTGTTTATGGGTATTAATACTTTGTAATTTTGAAGGCCAAATGAATTTATGAAACATTTTATTTCTTTCACGAATTCCGTGCTACTACACGCCAACATAGGATGAATTTCATCCGTTCATTGAGGCTCTCTTGCCGTTTGTCAAATCGTTTTCGTATTCATGGTTCAATTTGCAAGCTGCCAAACGAAAGTATTACAAAAAACATGAAAAGCGTATGTCACTGGAGGAGGAGCGACATTGCAAGGATGAACTACAAGTAAGATCTACTTTTAACATTTTCCAAATAATATTGAAATGTTCACTATATTTTCTGACACTTTGAAATGTGAAATAATCAAATTTTAGTGACAAAACTAGAGTTTAGTAAAAAGTATCACAGCAGGAAAAGTTAAATCAGTATACCTAATCTATTGATTTTCGATTTTCCGGTTAACTTTCCAGTACCATAACTTAGCTTTGCCTAACTTGATTTGCTACTCTTGAGTATTTCCGTCTTTGGTTGGGAGTGTATAAAATATTTGCCTACATCCGAACCTAGCCCTACCTTACTTGCTTAAAGTGGCGGATGCTGGGAATATTTTATGCTAAAATTAATAGTCATATGTTATAATAAGTTTCCCAACTCCTAGGATTTACATTGCGACAAAGTATCCGGAAATTGTAAATAAAACGCAAAATATTTAATTATTCATTTATATTTATTTTGTCGCCTTCTAAGTAATCCCCACCAGATGTAATACACTAATGCTCTTTCCTGTCCGCGAAACATTTTTCATAAGCACTTTTTGGGACAGAAGCAGAGCAGAAGGCCTGCTCCTATAGCGAATTTTGTTTTATCTCTTCGATCGACTGAAGACGAGTTTCACGGAGCGGAAATTTCAATTTGGAACAAGAAAAATTCCCTCAGAGCCAACTGTGGTGATTGAGTGAGGGTATTCCTTGGGTATTTAGCTTTTCGGTCACAATCGCGGCTCGATGCGATGGTGCATTCGGCTTTTTCGGAACGAGTCGAGCAAGAACGCGTTTCATACTATTTCATATTATTATTTTTACCTGGTAAAAAGTATTGGATGGTAAGCAGGAAATATAGTATAAATTCATAATATTCATAAGTGAATTTTTTGGCTTCGCAATTCGAACCTTTTTTCATCTATCGGTTTCATATAACAACCTTAAATATATTAGACCGAACTGTCAAATTTCCTTGGTAAATTTCGAATTATAATGTATTTGTTATAAAACATTAAATTCCGCTAAAGTTCTTACTCTTCGTTATTAGAGTAAGTTGGAAGCATATAACCTGATACTTAGAGTAACTTATTAACCTAGGTAATTTTTAATTGAGATGTTGCACTTATTTTCATAGGTGAAACAAAATTTAACCGCGTTTATTTTTACATTTTATATCTATTTTTCTCTGAAAAACTATATAAGTGTATTTATGAAATAGAACGAAAAAGCGGAGGTGAAACAAAAGTGGGCGTCCCGGTTATTAGGAAAACTACGTAAGGATATTACTCAGGAATGTCGAGAAGATTTCGTACAATCCATCACCGGCAAACGAAAATCGATTTGTGTACTTTCGAATCCCGATCAGAAAGGCAAAATGCGACGAATCGACTGCTTACGACAGGCAGATAAGGTGTGGCGCTTGGATTTGGTTATGGTCATACTTTTTAAGGCGATACCGCTTGAAAGCACAGATGGAGAACGACTGGAAAAAAATCCCGAATGTACACACCCTAGCTTATGTGTAAATCCTTATCACATTAATGTATCTGTTCGCGAACTGGACTTGTATTTAGCGAATTTTATCAATACACATGATCCGCTTGACAGCCCAAATCCGTCGTCACCTCCTCCTACATCAATAGCATTATTCTCATATAACAATGAACACACCCATGCTAACTCCAATAGCAACACTAATGTCAGTAATAACAATATAAACAAAATAAAGAAAGATGGTGAAACACGCAAAGAGAAAGGTAATAAAAGCTTTTCCATACTTAAATATA